GCGGGCGGCGGTGCCAAGAGCTCGGCCACGGTGAGCCGCAACCTCAACCGCTTCTCTACCTTCGTCAAGTCAGGCGGGGAGGCCTTCGTGCTGGGCGAGGCGTCGGGCTTCGTCAAGGACGGCGACAAGCTGTGCGTGGTTCTGGGTGGGCGCGGGCCCGAGTGGCAGGGGGACCCCTACCCCTTCCAGTGCTCCATCGAGGACCCCACCAAGCAGACCAAGTTCAAGGGCATGAAGAGCTACATTGCCTACAAGCTGGTGCCCAGCCACACCGGGCAGCAGGTGCACCGGCGCTACAAGCACTTCGACTGGCTCTACGGGCGCCTGGCTGAGAAGTTCCCCGTCATCTCGGTGCCCCACCTGCCCGAGAAGCAGGCCACTGGGCGCTTCGAGGAGGACTTCATCTCCAAGCGCCGCAAGGGCCTGGCCTGGTGGATGGACCACATGTGCAGCCACCCGGTGCTGGCCCAGTGCGACGCCTTCCAGCACTTCCTCACCTGCCCCAGCACCGACGAGAAGGCCTGGAAGCAGGGCAAGCGCAAGGCCGAGAGGGATGAAATGGTGGGGGCCAACTTCTTCCTCGCTATCAGCGTCCCCACGGGCCCCGGCACCACTCTGGACCTGCAGGAGGTGGAGAGCCAGGTAGACGGCTTCAAAGCCTTCACCAAAAAAATGGACGAGAGCACCCTGCAGCTCAACCACACTGCCAACGAGTTCGCCCGCAAGCAGGTCACCGGCTTCAAGAAGGAGTACCAGAAGGTAGGGCACTCCTTCAAGTGCCTCAGCCTGGCCTTCGAGCTGGACCAGCAGGCCTTTTCGGCCGGCCTCAACCAAGCCATCGCCTTCACAGCGGACGCCTATGACACCATCGGTGAGCTTTTCGCAGAGCAGCCCCGACAGGACCTTGACCCTGTGATGGATTTGTTAGCACTGTATCAGGGACATCTGGCTAACTTCCCAGATATCATCCATGTCCAGAAAGGTAACATCCTCATATCTTATCTTTCTGATGCTGATCAGGGTTTGCATATACAAATATGCAGAAATACGGGGGTCAGAAACTTTATGTTCTGTTTCCAGCTCTGATGCTTGCTGATGCTGGCTTTGGACTGTATCCTGCTGCATTTTTAGTAAATGCAAAACAGGGTGGTTCAACAGTTTCATTTTTGTACCAAAGATCCAGTCATTTCTACTAATATCAGGCCTTAAATTGGTCTTTCTCTAGCTGTTTATAGGATGGGAATAAGTACCTGCCATATGTGAAAGGTTAACGAGTATGTTTATGAAAGGCTCCTGAAGATGAAGTGATGCAAAAGCATCTCTTATTACTCTTGTAGCTCCTAGCATTATTATCTTAAAATAATCTATCTTGTCTATTAAAGAATTGGTTTGAAACAGCCTGAGAATGTAATATGCCTAATGTTCCTTTCATCCCATCCTGTGGAGGCACTTTAAAAGCAACCTCTAGAACAGCCCAATTAGAAATATTATTAGTCTCATTTTCAAATGGAGAAACAGATGGAGGAATTGGGCAACCTGGTTGAGGTTTCTATGTGTAACCTTGTATTACATGTGCTTTGCTATGAAAGTGTTTTGGATGTTGAACATGCTGTGGTATTGTCTACTGTAGCTGGACAATCAGTCTTGTGACGCTTGTGTAAACAAGTCAGTCTTGTGACACTTGTGCTACAGTGTCCCCAGCTAAAATTTCTTCTCTCCCTCACTGCATAAAGGTTTCTATTCACCTCTTATTCTTTTCTTCTACTTGCCATTGTCGATCTGAGATGTAGCAGTTTCTGAAGTTCTGACCATGGCAAGACACTTTAGGATCCACTGGAGGGAAAGAATACTGTAAGACCAATGACACCTTCCACATAAATATAATATTAAATTTAACATTAACATTAACAACTTATGTGGAAGGCTCCCATTTGTAAAGTTAAAGTCCTCATCCTAGTGTCTCAATTCATCAATCATCTATCTAGTTATATAATGAAGGCTTGACTTGCCACCCGCAGGGGAAGAAAAAGGCATCCATTACTTTGTTTTCATGTGACATGCCTCACAGCTTTTGTTTGCAGAACTGTCTCTCAAAATTTAAGGCAAAATTAGTTGATTTGAAACGGGTAGCTTTTTGTGAAATAGGTGCTGATGACTGAATCACAGATTTTTGAGAAAATGTGAGGAGCCAGTGTTCACAGGCATAACTTTAACATACTTTTACAACAAAGTGTAATTTTTCTTGTTATGTATGTAAACTTCATGAAAGAAACATTTTCATATGATGAATTCTGATTATTTTTCTGCTGTGTAAACAGAACCCTTCTCCATTACGTAAAGGAGAATTGGGGGTGGTATTTTTTTTAAGCTTGTGGATTACAGTGTATAGTAGTATTAATGTATGCAAGACGTTTTAAAGTGAGAGAGGAGGATGACCCTGGTGATGTCACTTCTTTAGGAAATGGCAAGTTTTAAAATGAAGCATTCTGCATTGAATAATGAGAGTGATTAATAACTAACGTGAGGAATTAATTTTTAGTGTTAAAGGAAATTGGCTAAAATACCTTTTAATAGTGTAAAACTATTTAAACAGGATATTTTGACAGCACAGGTTTTTTTTTAAGGCTACCTGTGTCCCTTTAGTATCATAATCAACAAAGTACAGAAACCTGCCAGTATAAAAGAATTGCTTGTATATCATACCTGCCCAACAAAATCTGTTATCTGTCTGTGTTAGCAGGTTGTCTGTGAAATGTAAATGTAATGTCATTCCTCTGCATTTTGCCTTTTACCTTGGACATTCCTCTTCTAATTAACCCTCCCAAAAACTTCCCTTTAAAGTGACCCAGTAGACACATTGGTAAGGTGAAAAAGGTTCATATGCTAATTTCTTCCACACTTACACTTGGATTGTATCAAGAAAAACTATTGCCTGAAGGAGGTTCTGTTCTTTCTCTTCAGTAGCCTTCAAAACTAACCCCAAGCAAAAAATGGGAGTAGTTGTGCCTAAAGCATACACAAGCAGGTGGGGATTGTAGTCCCCTACCTCTTGCCACTATTTGTTGTACTGCAGCTAAACAAACTGTTGTACACAGAAATTTAGGATGTAGGTTTTTGTGCAAGGGCCCCTCCTACTTCTCTCTCTGCACATCCAATTATGTGACATTTAGGAAAATGTGGGGACTATAAATGTTAGGTCAAGAATGTGCATATATTGCAGGTTGAGAGGTCTGCGTGTGGGGTAGATTTGAATACCTTTGTGTAATACTCCTTTTGCACTAGAGAGACTGCCAAATGTTTCCCACCAAAAGAGTCTGCTTGGCCATAGATAAGCAGCTTTCTGTATTTGGGTTTTACATCCACAAATGGTTTTCTGGAGTTAAGCATCTAAGCCAGCTCAGCCTTTTGCCACAAAATGATGGTGCTGACCAGCCCAATAGGCTGGCAGTTAATGCAGTACTTGGGGATGTGGGACAGTTGGTATTAGATCCTTCCTCTGCCTGAATTTGAATAAGGTATACCTTCCAGAAGAGCACCCTCAACCCTGGATATAAAATATTCTCAAGTTAAGTGATCTTAATGTATCCTGTTGATGTCATTCTATATTGTGTAAACTATTCCTGGGAGAAAGGTCTAGAATTTGGGTCTCCTGAGTGAAGGTGATAATTACCAGGCTCTCTACCATGTTTTCACTCTTTCTCTGGCTCAATAAATATTTCAAGTATTTTCTGCAGAATGGAATAC